CAGCCCTACTGACTGGAAATGCCAATTCTCACAAGGTGAAGATTAGCAAGGTTCCATCCACATCAGGGAGGGCAAAATTACAAAGGCACCACTTGCATCCACTAGCAAGCCTGGCAACACAAAAAAGGCTGTCCAGGTACCGACGAAGCCTAATGTTGCTAATGATGCAAAGGACTGCAAGAAGCCGAAGGCAAAACCTAAGTCTGAGGGTAGTCGGTCTAACTCTCTCATCCTCTTTAACGTACCTGTGAGCACGGATAGCTTGCTCGAACAACGGGCCCTGTTTGATCAGGAACAGTGGTCCAACCTGTGTGGCAAACTAGGTCTGAACATTAGTTCAGCAAAACTGTGCAGACTGTACAGGGGTGTCCACACGCCTCAGGGTAAGCCACCCCCATTACGGGTTACACTGGACTCTGCCGAAGAGGCCGAAAAAGTACTGTTAATGGCTCAGGTACTAGCCCTGGACAGAAGTTCTAACATAAGAGCGCGGCAAGATAGACCATGGGCCGTCAGAAATATGGCGAGGGAGTCACCGGAACTGATGCCTTCCACCTCTATGGTGGTACACGGTGTTCCGGAGCTGGAAACCGGCACTGCTTGTGAAAAACACATGCACGACGTACAACAATGGAGATGGCTGTCATCTCAGATGGCCCCTGGCGCTTCTGGAGCCATCTCCATTTTCCGACTACCTCGTCCCGCTCATCTAACATTGATTAACTCTCCAAAGCTGCTGTGTGTCACATTCAACTCCCCGGAGCAGTTGTCCATATCACTTCAACGGTGGTATGAGACCAAGGGAAAAATTGGAGGACACATCCGATGCTGTGAAAGCAGACCCAGAAATATAAGGAGGCAGCAAACTGAGGCTTTAATACGACCCCAAGCTTCGGTGACACTAGAGCGATGCAGCTCTGAGAATAATAGTCTGTGTCTCCCAAGTGTCCTGCCTAAATCCATTGAAAAAAACTACAACGGGCCGGTTCTATCGGAATCGGCCAACTAGTTCCAACATCAAGTCCCCCACCAGCAGACGGTTTCACGTCAACTACCCCACAACACTCTGAGGTTGTTAGACTCACTGTCAGTTGCCTATATAGCAATGTGAGGGGGCTGAGAGGGAAAGTAGGTGAACTCCGAAATCTCCAAGCACACCTTCAACTGAAAATAATCATTCTTACTGAAACGTGGCTAAACCCCACTATCGCCGACAATGAAATCAGTATAGGTGATATGGTACTGGTCAGGAGAGACAGGGATAATAAGGAAGGAGGGGGAGTTGCTATATACTTTGATAGGCAACTTAAATGTGTGCGCGCAACGGACCCACCACTTATCGAACTCCCAGACTCCATATGGTGTCATTTCACCGTAGGCCACACCAAGCACTTACTGGGTGGCATCTACCGATCTCCCACCTGTGGGGCAGAGCACAATCAGCTACTGCTCAGCACTATCACAGGAATACGAGATTTGGGCTACGACCAAATCACCATAGCTGGAGATTTCAATGCTCCATCACTGAACCTTGGCTCCGGGTGTGCTAAGGGAAAATTTGGCCGAAACCTACTGCAAACTATTCGAAACACGGGACTGACTGAGAATGTTGGAGACGACACTAGGTGGGGCCCTAGTGGAAAGTCATCAAAACTAGATTATATTCTAACTAGTGACCAGCTACTCGTCGAAAAGGTCCAGATCATGACTCCTCTGGGAAGCAGTGACCATGCAGTCATAGGTTTCGATCTTGTCCTCCGTGAGCGTTTGCAATGGGATGTTACGCGACCATGTCTGTGCTACAGCAAGGCTGACTATGCTGAAATGCGGAGGCTCTTGTCCGACGCAGACTGGCCCTTAGCATGGGACGACCTATCTGTGGATGAACACTGGGAAGTGGTAAAAAAGATTATCCATGCAGCAATCTCGGATACCGTCCCTTTAGTCACAACACAGCCTAAGAGAAAGACGTCATGGTTGAAGAGAGGCACGCAACGTATTCTGCAAGCAAAGCGGAGGGCTTGGTTTACGTGGCGTGTATCTAAGAGTCAGACCGACCATGATGCATACCTCGAACTCAGGAACCGGTGTAATGCAAGAGTTAGGAGGGACAGAAGGTCATTCCAGGCTAACCTTGCTAAAAAACTCCTATCAAACCCTAAAAACTTGTACCGATTCATGTCGGAAAGAAAACCGACAAACCAAGGGGCATGCGCCTTAGTAGGCCCAAACGGTCAATATCTCACTAGTCTGGAGATGGCTGAAACATTCAGTTCAGCCTTCGCTAAACAGCTAAACAGCAATGTGGATATTACAGTTACGGACCAAAATGGTGGCACCACTATTTCAGAGGAGGAAGACCTAGCGACTACTCCCCAAATAAACCCCGCAATAGTACTAAGGAAGCTACAGCGACTCATACCTGGGAAGTCCCCAGGTTGTGATGACATCAGGCCATCTGTTCTGAAACAGTGCGCCGAGGCTCTCTGTAGACCCCTGTGCGACTTGTTCCAACACTCAATGGATTCGGGGACCCTGCCAAGGGAGTGGAAAAGAGCCATCCTTTCTCCAATCTTCAAGGGTGGGGACAGGCAAAACGCTGCTAGCTATAGACCAGTAGCTCTACTCCCAGTGGTATCAAAAGTACTGGAAAGTATTATTGACGACCACATCAGGGAATATTTCGATAGGACTAATATACTGCATGAAGCCCAACATGGTTTCAGAAAAGGCAGATCCTGCGTCACTAACCTACTGTCAGCTTGGGACGACTGGACATCATGCTGGGACTTGAACGTACCAGTCCATGTGGTCTTCCTAGACTTTGAGAAGGCATTTGACACTGTTCACCATGACCTTCTCCTACATAAAATAAGACAGGCAGGCATAGGTGAGCCACTTCTGTCATGGTTGAAGGACTACCTAGCCGACAGGCAATTTTGCACTAAGGTTAACCGAGTCCGATCATCTTGGCACAGATCGTCATCAGGAGTGTCGCAGGGTTCTATCCTAGGACCACTGATGTTTTTGATTTTCATCAATGATCTACCACGCCGTCTGAGCTGCCCGACTCTCCTGTACGCTGACGACGTAAAAATATGGAGGGCGATAAAGTGTCCGGAGGACTCAGATAGGCTACAGGAAGACCTAAACCTTCTGGAAGACTGGGCGGTGGCCAGTGGCATGACTTTCAACTTGAAAAAGTGCAAAGTAGTGAAGTTGCGCACCTGTAGACTGCAGAATGCAAGTTACACCCTGTGCAATGAAAGCTTGTCCTGCACAACGTCGGAACGCGACTTAGGTCTAGTTCTAACGGAAAAAATGGACACAAGCGTAAATTACACAGGGGATGTAGCGAGGGCATATGCGGTCATACACTTTACGCATAGACAGTTAGGTGCACTCACTCCTGAGCTCTTTCTAATGTTGTACAAAACATACGTCAGGCCACACCTTGAGGTGCATAATATTATTGCACCCCCAATGCTGAGAAGAGATGCCAACCTCTTGGAAAGAGTCCAACGACGGGCAACAAAAGGAGTGGTTGGTCTCCGAAACAAACCATATGATGAAAGGCTGAAGAAATTAGGCCTGTTCACACTTAGTTACCGTCGGCTTAGGGGGGATTTGATTACTGCCTACAAAATAACAAATGACCAGAATCACCCAAACAAAGGTGTTCTGCCATTGAGTAGGTATAGGCTTCCACGTGGAAATCCCAGAAGGATAGCTCACCAGAGGGCAAGGACCCGGGTGCGCTCCCACTTCTTTTCACTGCGGGTTTGTCGTCCCTGGAATTCCTTACCGGCAGATGTAGCTATGGCACCGTCTTTGGACGCCTTTAAGCGAAGGCTGGACAACCATGCAGCGATACAAGGACTGCATCCAAATGGCCTATCTCCTTAAAATCGCATTTACCAATCAGGGTAGATAATTAAACTCGTCATTTTACTTCTTTACATTCTCTCCCGTCTTACTCTCCTGACAACTTATTAATATTATAATTACTATTATTATTATTACTATTACCGATATATATATTATTCTTCAAACTTCATGAGCTGACTGTTGTTACGTTTCCTATTTTCGTTTCTGTCTCTTAGTCTGAATAGCTTCACTAATTATATCTATTATTATTATTATTACTATTTATTATTATTATTACTATCTCTTTTCTCTTGTCGACAATACCGAAGGACTAACTGGCGAAAGGATCAACTCCAATCACAGTAGTAACAGTCTTAACATACCTCATACTACAAACCACATATAATTAATCCCAGCACTACTCCCTTTGGAGTCAACCAAAGCTACGACAGTCGAGTGGCGGGACAAGCTACGCAGAAGTTTACCGAAGATCAAGAACCTATACCTCACAATCAAGAAGCGAGCACAAAGAAATCAAATTGGTTTATACTAGCTCGTAAAAACGATATTGGATATTGGAGAGCGAAATGGTTAGTGGAATTATCGATCCTGAAGAAGACAGCTGGTTGGCAGGACTTGTTTTGCTGAATTTTCATAACCGATTTTCATGATCGTGCCTGTAAAAATGGCATGCATTTTCATGTGAATTTATATGTTTATATGAGAATATACATTATTATTATTATTATTATTATTATTATTATTATTATTATTATGTGGTATGCGTTCGACAGTGCAAGTAACCCATCAATAAACATTCATTGGAGCTTGTAGTGGTCGACTGAGGCGGGCAAAATACCATTTTATTAGCGCACACGTGTATTTAAAGGTCAACCAGTGTTGTAAATAATGTTCGCAGGAAATTTCATAGTACAGAGTATACTAACTTTTCCTAGGAGTCAAACATTCGTGCTAAATAATGGTCCACTAAATTACATTTGCATTCTGTACAATTCAAAGAAGTTCAGCAGTCAAAATATGATTAGATTATCAAAACACAAAACAAGTTTCACTCAAATGTATGGGATATATACACTAATGCACAGCGAAAATAGGTTGGTTCAGTGTGTAGCGCCTATTTGAAATTTGCCCGCTACCACGACTGTGTACTTACTACTCGAATGTAATATGCCATTTGGTAAGCTTGCTGTGGGAAAGCTACGATTTTTCGCGTTACGCAAAAGTCCTAAAACATTCCAAAAAGACATTATGTGTCGTTTGTTGTGTGTTTATTTGGACTATACGCCCACCTTTCGCTCATATATATATAAGGCCTACTTAGTTGATCATTCGTTATCAGAGATTATTTGCGAATTTGAACCAACAGATCCTTTATCTATGATTTGAAACCTCCTCACCTGGAGCTACTGCAGTGGCTCATGAGCTTTTCGGATATGATTTTCACAGATATATTGGTTTCTGCTGCACTAATATAACATTTTAGGCATCATGAGCAAATCTCCCAGAGTATTTTCTCATATATCAGCATCTTTCTTATCAGAATAGATTGCCTCAGTAACTTTCGGTGGACAAACGCTTGTAATGTTACATGAACATGTTGACCACTTCACCTATTTGGGAAGTTGTATTAGCACCAACGGACTGATTGGCGATGAAATCTCAGCACGGATCCGAAAAGCTCGAGCTGCTTTCGCTTACTTACACCATCTCTGGCGTAGGCGTGACATCCGGTTATCAACCAAGGGACGTATGTACTGCTCAGCAGTTCGCTCCGTCCTTCTCTATGGCTCTGAAACATGGCCAATACGCGTTGAAGACATGAAAAGGTTGACTGCTTTCGATCATAGATGTCTACGATCTCTGTCTCACGTTACGTGGTTTCACAAGGTAAGTAATGTTGACGTTAGGCGTAGAGTGTTGGGCAAAGAGGGAAAATCAATCGACGAGGCTATAAAGTTACATAGACTGAGGTGGCTAGGCCACGTGCTGTGCATGCCTAACCACCGCCTCCCCCGACGGGCATTGCTAGCTGATATAGGTGCAGGTTGGAAAAGGGTAAGTGGTGGCCAAACAAAAACATGGCCTCATCAATCCATGAAATCCTTGACAGTTAAACTGAGTCAGTCAGGTAGGGAGATGCAGACTTCCGGGTTGGGGCCCTCGGGACTCTAGGAATCAATGGCTGGAGACAATAGGTGACATGGCTCAAAGTGATCGTTGTCAATGGCCAGCGCAGATGTATTCAGTCTCTGTAATCTTTCATATTCCTTTCTACCATTACCCATTCTGTTTCACTCTTATACTTGTCAGACTGTATTGATTCTCTTCACTCATCTTCTTGTCTACCTCTGTGTGCTATTTGGAAGGTGGCAACTCGAACTGCTGCACTTCGGTGCCAAGTTCTATGTTGAATCCAGACAGACAGAATGTTACAAGCGTTTTGTTGATAGCAGCAGTATCCATATGGATACTGCTGCTATCAACAATTTTCTGTAGTCCTTTAGTTGAAGGCTGCAGCATTTGATATTTTGTTTGAGTATTCTCGTGGAAATTTAGGAATAATCATAGTTTTTCATTTTAGCCTCTCATTCGTCCTGAAGGACAAAATTTTTCGACGTTTTCCATCCGCCAACTGAACAGTCGAGTTTAGTGTTATGTGAATGTATTATGAAGCGGTGAGTTGTTTTTCGACCTCAAATTTTAGTTATGCCTAAGTAATTGCTTTATGCAAACTGAATATCAAATGACTTCGTATTAGCTTTGGTATTTTCTATCACTGTTACATAACTACTTTGAGGGTGTGGGTCTTCAGTTTGAACGGGTATTTTAATTTTCGAATTATATAATTGGTCTTTACTTCTCTCACCTAAGTTTATGCCACTCAATAGGGTGTTCTTTTCGTTTTGCTTAATGTAAATGCTAACGTAGTGTAGTAATGTATATTTCCAACAATAAGCATTGTTTGGTTTCTATAATTTCATATATACTGGTTCATCTATTTTTCCCATGGATTACTTCATAATTGCGTTTAACTGAACTTAAAAGTGGTCTTAGGGTCGCACTAGTGTTAGATTCAGGAACTCCCTACTTCCCTATTTAAGACTGCATCCTAATTGTGTGCTTTGAATCAATTACTGAAGAAACTAATAATTTTACATTATTGTATGCTGTCTAGTCGTGTCATTTATGTAGTAAAAGTTTAAGTAAAATTATCCTCTTCCATTGTACTCACACAGACTGTTTTTTGCTGTCCTTTATTAAGTGCCACTTGTCTGTTGCTAAAGTAATTTCGGCTGGATTTTTCGTTTTTCAAGGAGAAATAATATCAAGTAAAATAATGTCAAACCTGACTCACACGAAAGTGCATTGTTTGAAGTAAACATTTGTAGTAACAGTACGAGATTGATATCAACGGATGTTTCGATATGCTCAATGTGGAAGAATATTAGGAGCAAAATAGAGTTAAACAGCTAACATAACAGTCTAGTCTGAGTTTATACAACCTGAGATATAAGTGTTTTTCATCATCTGTTAGTGAAATGCTTAGAAATGCTCTCTTGATAAGTGTGTCCAGATTATTATTTTGAGAAAAAGAAAATTTATTTAATATAAAGAGCATAAAATCAACTTGCAAGGCTCTAGAATCTTCGTTTACAGTACATGATCTGTATCTCTCTGACTTTGGACTTAATATTGTTAAAATCATTTAAACCCAGTTGGTAGGATCATGCTCTATGTATTTATTTTCTAAAATTCCTATAGGCGCAGAACGTGGGATTTAGAAGCAGCTGTTGCACGTGTTCGTCGAATACCCCAACCTTATCCTGCTTCGTACGTTGGTTATATATATAGTATTTATTATTTGGACAAAAGTAACTGGTTTGTTTTGAAATTAATGGTAATAAGTAGAGTTAGATTTTTATACATCATTAACAGTGACAATTATTTTGCCGTCCTTTTAAATTTTATGATAGAATTGAAAGGTACATGTACTCCTAGACGGTTCTTTGATTCCATATTTAAAAAGTTTCTACAGTTAAACTTTGAAAAGGGCTACTATACCTTCATTTTACTGAGTTAATCAAACTTCTTATGTCTATTGAAATAGGATTTACAACACATGTTCTCAATAAACTTAATTAGGAGTGTGTAAAATGTCAACTCTCAGTGTATTGCAAAATTATATATCCTGAAAACGTAAGATCTTCCATAGAAATATTGATAAACGAAATGCCGCCTTGTTGTAATATATCACTAGTAGGGTTCCTATCTAAACATAATTTTCCCTGATCATCGTGGAAGTGAATTAAAAATGAGTCAATTCTATTGCAACACAGTGTTTTAGGTATCATTTGTCCTAAAACAGGTGTACCACTGGAGTGCAGGAGTATTAGTGGGTCAAAGAATAACTACTGGATGGTAATCATTGAGTATATGTATAATCTTAAAAGTTGTCAGAATGTAGTCACACTGATGATTCTTTCTGTAAACATGTATGCATATTAATGATAGAATCTCGTCAAACTCCAAGCCATTCAAAATGAAATTTGCATTACCTGTTAAAACCTATGGGCTGATCTCCAGGATACAAGTAAGTGAACTGATATCAGGAGCTATTGCTAAAAGAACTTGAATTTCTCAGTCGCACCGCACTTAATACACTAGTTTCTCTTACTGTATCTGGGGGAGAATTTTTATAACTAACCAATAACGAGTGAATGCCTGATAAAACTATTAAACTGCACAGAAGGGCGTCAATGCAGGTGGTCACACTTCCTAAAAGCAAAAAACAAAAAAGCAAAAACGATGATACTGTAACAGACAAATAGCAGGGTGGTAAAGATAGTAGTTAAATAAGGATCAGTGAAATTTTTAAGATCTGAAATATTGGACACATTAAGTTGCCATTTCGGACAATCTTAAAATGTCTCCATCCATTCATCTTAGGTATTCCGAGAATCCTTGTTGTTTTGAGCAACCACCGTCAAAAGTGGAAGTGCTTCTTTCCCAAAAAAGATTTCACTGAAGCCCGGGCAACATCTTGAAAATACATTTTACTGTTCTAGAATCGTCACTCAACTCATCGAAATTGATTGATATCCTACAAAAAATGTAGACTCATCTAACCAGTACAAATCACAAGGCGAATCTAAAATATGCGTTTCATCGCGATTTTACTTCAGGGCCCAAATTTCACGGGCGAAACATCCCTCTTCGGCTGCTCTTTTTCCTTTCAGAATCTGTCTTCACTTGTAATCAGAAAGTTACCTGGAGTTTATCGCCCTAGTTTGTGGAAATTAAAACAGTGTCTTATAGGTTCAACAACGTTAAGTTTATCGGAATTCGAGTAATAGCTGTCTATTACAAGCATGGCTACTAACTCAAAATTTCGTTGCTAACCTGCATCCATAATTTTATCAGAAAATTCCTGAGTAAATTTGTTCGGTTTCTTATTTTTCTAGTTTAAAAGGTCCAACAAGCGTTAGAAAAATATTCCGTAAGCAAGAAGATGCCATCACGTTTGCAAAACAGTTTGGTGAGGTATGTTTTTGCATGGTTAATATTATTATTGTTATTATTCCTTCGGGTTCCTAGTGGGACATAGAGCTTCAACAGCACATCTCCACTTTGTTCTATTCTCTGTGGCCCTCTTTAGCTGGCCCCACGATTACTCATAGTCTCTCGTCTGCTCCATGTCACCCTCAGACCCGCATCCAATTCGTCGTTTTCCGTCCGGGTTCCACTCGAGCAGTCACTTGGCGCTCAGTATCATTCGACGGCCCGATCCATCTCCACTTTCTCTTACATATTTCTTGAACGATAGTTTCTTGGTTGATTTGTTGCCAGAGTTTCTTGTTGCTAATTCTTTCTGGCCTGCCATTTAATCTTCAATATGGAGCCAGCGAAGAGAGCTGTTGATAAAAGTTTGTAAGTTGTTGGAAATCCTTTTCGTGACACGCAGTAGAAGTTTCATTCCCGTATATAAAAACTGACTGACTCAACATTTGTGTCGAAAACCTGAATCTTTTTCTTTATGCCGTAGAGTGCAGAAGATTTTCAAACTGATTTCAGAGTGGTGAAGGTATGCCTTGTCTTTCCGAACCTGGTTTTGATATCCTTATCCATGATGCCTGTAGTTGAAACGATGCTGTCTAGATAAGTGAAAGAAGTGACCTCTTTCACATTTCTCATGTTGAGCGTGATTGGTTCTTGATGTTGTTGTTGGTTGGTTGTTTCCATCACCTCCGTCTTCTCTATGTTCACTTGAAGTTCTATCTTTGCCCCTTCTTCTGCCAGTTGTTTATTTTCGTTTGCAACTCTTCGAGTTTGTGAGACTTTAAACATAAATCAACTGCAAAATCCAAATCTTCTAGAGTCTTCTTACAGGTCCAGAGTATTCCTGTCTTCTGCCCCATCACAACTAGGAATATCATTGGTGATAATAGGCAGCCTCGTCTTACTCCTGTACTCACCTCAAAGACTTCGCTGACTTTTCAGTTGTGGATCATCTGACAAGTGGCATTTTCATATAGCTGTTGAATGAGTTTAATAAAGATTTAAGCACTGTACACCATAGTGTTGAGGCAATTTCCAAATTACCTATCGGTCAACGCTGTCTGTAGAAGGCCTTTTCAAAGTTGATGAAGTTAAGGTACGACCTCCACTGCCATTCTGTGCTGTGTTGGATGATGATGCATATAGTTACAATTTAATCAGCACATGACTTGCTTTTCCTGAGTCCAGCTTGTTCCGGCGGAGCGGAGTTCTGCGTCAAGTGCATTTTTTATTCTCTCAGGGATGATGTGATAATATTTTCCTTACGGTGGACAACAGGATGGTTCCACGGCAGTTCTTGAAGGCGCTTAAGTCTCCCTTTTTCTCGGTAGCTTAACAAGGTAGCCTTTCTTCCAGTCAGTAGGTGCCTTTCTTTCCTTCTAAAGTTCTTGCAATAGTAGTGTCCTCTGCGGTTTCTGGACCAGTTTCCAGTCCTTCAGGAGGAGTTTCGTCTGCTGTTGACTCCTTTCCAACTGACCATCAGTAGCTTGACTACATTCAAGATTTCTGTTTTGTTGGAGGATTGGTGTCCACTGGCAGTTCTGTACATGATGTTGGTGGTATTTCTGGACGAGTTGCAGGCGTTGGTCGATTCAAGAAGTCTTTTGAATTGATCAATCTATTGGTTTATTTCTTCTGCTTCGTGGAAATTAGGTTCCCTTGAGCATCTTTCATAGGTTTCATTTGTGTTGATCTCTCCCCAGATAGAGACGTGGTTGTCTGATATATTTAATGTTCTCAGGTCTCTTTTACTTGTGGGTTGCCTGCCTGTTCTGCTTCAGTTACTGGCCAGTGTGTTGTAGAATTGTCTTTTGTCTTTCTTCGCACTCTTCTTCACTTCTTTATTCACTGCAGCGTACATTGAACTTAGCTTCCTCTACCGCTGTCCATCTTCACATTGGTTAATTATCTGTCTCACCATTCTCCTCTCCTCGATTAGCTTCCAGGTGTCCGTTGAGAGCCATTCCATGTTGTGTCTCTTCTTTCTTCTTAAAACGGTCGTACGCTTTTCTCAAAGCACCATATTCAGAGAGTTCCAGTGTTCTTTTACACCTGTTTCCTCACTGTTGCTATGTAATATCTCTAAGTTTTTCCTGATAGGCGCAGTGAAAGTGTCATTTGTAGTTTCGTTCCTCAGTTTATGAGTGTTGAATTTGAATTGTGGTCTGTCTCCAGTTGTTTTGAAGGCTTTCAGCTTGATCTTGGGGATTCCTCAGACTAGATGATAATTTAAGCCAGTGTTTGCTCCCCTTATAGACTTTGTGTCCAGCAGGCTGCGTATCCGCTTTCTTGAGAATGAGTCTAGCTAGTTTTTGGTGTGTCCATCAGGTGAAATCCTCATTGCTTTGTGTATATCCATGTGGTTGTACAAGCTGCTTCCGATCACCAAATCATTTAAAGCGCAGAAGTTTGACAATTGACAATTTCGATAGTGTACATCCATCCCACCTGCTTTAGCAGATTCCTAGCACTTCTATGCCGTATTTTTCCATTTTTCGGCTACGTGGCAGCCTTCCCAGCTGCGTACATCGTAGGAACATTTCACGTCCCCATCATTATTTTCGCCTTTTTCGTAACAAGACATTGGCTGGCTGACTGGCTTCCCGAAGGCTTTCACCAGCCCACTGTGTCATTTCGCCTCTCCGATACCATCGGAAAATAAGCCTTTTAAATATACTTTTCTTTTGCTTTGAAGTTTCTATAGCGATTAGATTGATTTTCCGGGGTATGGTCGCTGGCCCCGCGCCCAACCCTCCCTCTTTTCCGGGTATGGGACCGGTTAGAAAACTATTGAGCCAGTAATCTAGGCGACGTTTGTTTTTGTACAATAACTCTAACATTTCATTATATCGTCCTTATCTTTACTATTATGAAGGGCAATCTGGTTGACTATCCCAACTTTTTTCACAAACTAAATAAAGGTCGTACATGTAGAAAAAGTTGCTTGTTTAGCTTCAGTGACGTTACTTAGGCATTGTAACTACATCTTATCTCGTGTAAGACAGTATTAGATATTTTGATCACAAATCTATTCGTATCTAGTCGATATATTCTCTAGATAATTTAGATTACCGGCTGCAGGTACTAAGTGATGAACGAATTTCAAGTTAGCTTTTCCCACATCCAATTAGTAGTGGAAAATATCCACACGATGAAATGATGCATGATATTTCAAAAAGTAGGTTATGTTTAACCTTTTGACTATGTAATTGAAAACTTCGATCTATATCAAAATATCTGTTAAGTGTAGATTAATCCAAATACCACACACCCAAGAATTCTTTGGTATTCTCCGCGTTTTTCCTATTTCTATTTTCTGCTTTTTCCTAGTCGATTTGATGTCCGTGTTAATGTGTCTATGTGTTAACCGGCTTATATCATTGTCATATCACAGATCTGAGTTGTTTTCACACTTTTCTTTGCATAACAATCTCTATAATTCACGCATAGGTGGTATTTGTACACGGTGTACAAAATGTTATCCTAGATTAGGTTAAATTATTTAATAAGGCATACATTATTATTATTTTATCCTTTAATTCCTAGAGGAACATAGGGTTTCAGCTGCGCGTCTCCATTGCCTTCGGTTTTCTGCCAACATTTTCACCCCGCTTCAAGTCTGCCCACATGCTTTCATCTCCTCTTCACATCACCTCCTCCAGGTCACCCTGACGCAGACGACCAACTCGCCGTTTTCCTTTCGGGTTTCAATCGAGCGATGGCTTGTCTAGTGATGTCACTTGATGGTTTCCTCAGAGTATGGCCAGCCAATCCATCTCCATTTCTTCCTGCCTATTTGTTTCACAATCGGCTCCTGCTGGGTTAGTTCGCTCATTGCCAGAGATCCCCTCCTGTTGCTGATCTTTTCTGGCTGGTCATCTGATCTTGATTGGTGTTGAGCGAAGATAACTGTTAATGAAGGTCTGTATTTTGTTGGAGATGCTCTTTATAACGCGCAGTGCAAGTCTCTGATCCGTATAGTAGCACTGACGGACTTCACATTGGAGTTGAAAATCCGGATGTTATTTTTGATGGTGAGTGCTGTTGACCTCCAAACAGACTTAAGAGTAATGAAAGCTTGTCTTGGTTTCCCGATTCTGGCTTTGATATCCTCGTCAGTTCTGTCAGCCTGTAGTTGAAACGATGCTTCCCAGGTAGGTAGGAAAAGGTGGTTGTTTCTTTCACGTTCCGCCCATTTATGCTGGCTGATTGTTGTCTGTTGTTGTTGTTGCTGTTGGTGTTGGCCAGGAATCTTCATCACCTCTGTTTTCTCTATGTTCAACTGAAGTATTATCTTCTCTGGATGCTTCTTTTGCCAACTTGTTGCTTTTCACTTGCATATCTTCCAGTTTGTGGGAAATCAGACGTATGTCATCATCGGCGAAGTCCAGATCCTCCAAGTCTCCTTTTGTGTGAGTCCATTTTATGCCTGTTTCCCCACTGCCTGTTGTCTGTCTCATTATCCAATCTACTGCAATCAGGAAGATGATTGGCGATAGTAGACAGCCTTGCCTCACTCCCGTCCTCACTTCGAAGGCTTCCGTAAGTTTCCCGTTGTGGATTACTTGACATGCAGCATTGTCGTATAACTGTTGGATGAGATGTATAATTCTCGATGGCACTCCGTAGTAGCATACATCATATAGGACTTTTTTCAGATCTGTTGTTCTCACTGTGATATTTATTTGTAATTTTAGTCAGCAATTACTGAATAATAACAGCAAAACCAGACAACAACACACAGATAACAGAAGTCAGTAATTCATACTAGCCAGAATTATTTGTATTGATAAATTTACGATAGATAGAAATAAATAACAATAAACATTTACATAGTACAGTAATAAAAATTACCAGTCACTACAAGCACTGAATAATATTTAGATAGTTGAGCAACTTTCTGACTTAAAATGATGTTGTTCTGGTGCTTCTCATTGTTTGAATCTAATTGCTAGATTTTTCAGATGACACATGTGGCACTAGTATTGAATCATCCTTGTTGCGCATCTTAGTTGTTGATTCCGTGATCTGAAGACCAATAACCGATACCAGTGTAACGATAGAAGACAAGGGCCAGGCGACAGAGCGTTTATTGAGAAAATCAACAGATATTTATAGATTTTTATACATTATATATATATATTATTGTTGGTTATTGTTAGCAGAGAGGTAACGTCTTCTGATTGTTTGTTTTCCTGCTGAAGGTTATTCTGTCATCTTTTTGTTACCACTTCTTAGACAGTCCGTTGATATATTTGCTAATCGTATCCATCCACGCTAAGTTTGCTGTGATTGGTTGTTGAGTTAGTCTTTGTTCTTGTTTTCTTCTCATGACCAAGATTTGGGACGTACACATTGACGTAAATTGCTGTCTACCGATTTTGGCTAGCAGACAACTCTCACCACACTACTACTGCGTGAATTTGTTAGCTTAAATAAAAACCAATTTAGTATACAACTACATTAGATCACTATAAGGTGGTCGTTGAGTTATTGTGTCTATATCAGATGAGATTAGGCAGTTTTGTTTTTACCGAGAAGATTCTGGGATCCAAACCCCGGTGGGTGCGTACTGACGAAGGGTTCCAAACTAGGACGAACCAGCTGACCAATACTTCCTGCCTTCCCAATAGTTGTCTAACTGATGTTTGTTCGTGATCCTGTATCAAATCAAATCCCTGTAGACCAACAGTTGATAATTTACTCATTTCCGTCAACTTCGACTTGATCATTCTTATTACTGAGAATACTACTGTATATGTTTGTAAATGATTACTTCTTCTAGGTTTCTCTGTGTTACGATTAGTTAAGGGATTCACAGTTCAAGTTTAAGTGCTAACATAGTGAGCTAGGGAATCCACGTCATTTCTCATTATAAAAATTGGATTGTGTGGTTGTAAAGGATTCATCAGCTTCCAAACCGTCGGGACAAACTGTCTCAATAGTTAGTCCTGATACAGGAAAAAGGTGATTGATTGTGTGGCACTAAAAAAATAGGAGCTAGTGATAGACCAATTTCCCCTTGATTGATAAATATGATTTGTGTGGTGAATCAAAGTTACATAAAGTTATGGTACTGTTTCTAATTTATTGCCTTATGTTTATCTTACGATCATATTTCCCCTTGATTGGTTCTTGTACTGCACTTTTTGATAGCAGTATCTTTTTTTGTTACCAGGAGATGATGGTGTTCAGTTATGAAAGTTTATCCGTTGGAAACGAAGGTCAGCGTATGTTTCTAGCCTCTGGGATTCATTCATTCTTCCACTCTTACAAGTATGTTTCATGACTACAAATGATGGTAAATTAAAATTTTGCTCTGAGGTTAGTGCGCTCTGTGCCAACTGGGTCTGTACTAGTGATTACTACAAATGAGCACTACTTGTAGGTTATTGTGTTTACCTGACATCAGTTAATTGATGTTTTATTGATTACTATAGCCTTTTGACATTCCAATCACTCTTCGGGTAAAGTTAGCGCTGGTAGAGAAGTAACCAGTGCTTTCCACATAAAATACACACCCGTAATCACAGTATTAGGTATGTTAACAAGTGACGTTTTGGAAACAAAATTTATGAACTTCGATCCAATTTTATGGATTATTTTAGATAGATAAAATACTTTTCGGAAGCTTTTTATCCTGTTTCTCTGAAATGTCATCCTACTATTCATAAGGAAAATGTATGCACTTTGTAGCAGTGCGCTCTATCCGACTTTGCTTTTGTTAGACATAGTCATTGAAAGTGGAAAGACCATGGTTGGTGACTCTCTTTAGTCTCATATTTTGGGTGGACGTTTGTAGTCAACATCAGTGGTGTTAGGTGGGGAGTGTTAGGTAGGGAAGAGGAGTTAATCAATGAGACTGTGAGGCCCCATCAGATTATCGCTATTTTTCTAAGCCTTCTCTCAGTTTGTTATATATTGTTCAAGTTCTGTAATCATTTGACCGTGAAGCATGATATTCATTTTTAATATGAGCTAATTAGTCAAATACTTATCGTTTCTCGCATATTTTGGCGTGCCTATTCACACGTAAAAATGCTTTATTAGTTGTCGCCTGAGTGATGGTGCTCAGCGATTGGTAGTCATGCTGTTCTTTGTTTTATTTAACCAGTGACTCATAGTCATATATTAGCGATATTTGATATTCAAGTGATTAAGCGTTATTAAGGGTAGTTACTGCTAAGTGAGGATTTGTTGGTGCTTTGATATAAGAATAGAACTTGTGCACTGTGATAGAGTATAATTCCATTGTGGGTAACATTTATTTTGACAAAGTCTCACAGTGTTAGTTATACAGTAATATTTACTGGTGACGTTTCGAGCATAATTTATTACTGCTCATAATCATATCAAGGCACTACTCACACAACTTTCCAACTTCGTTTATATGATTCTGCTATTTCTCATCTCTTGATTTCATTGGTATTAGTGCAACAACAGAGACAACAGGCCAGGCAACATATCATTTATTAAGGAAATCAACACATATTTAAAGATTTTCATGTACATTATTATAGATTATTGTTAGTAGATAAACACAGTCTTCTGATTGGTTGTTTCTCACTGAAAGTTAATCTTTCATCTTTTTGAGGCTGTTTCTTGAATGTCAGATCATCTATATGCTAACTGTATCCACCTACGCGAAGTCTGCTGTGATTGGTTATTGAGTCAGTCTTTAATCTTGTTTTCACATGACCAATATTTGGGACATAAACATTGACGTAAATTACTGTCTACCAATTTGGCTAGCAGCCAGCTCTTACCACATTAGTACTTTCCTTATTTCCAGTGTGAGTGATGAGTCATTCCTATTGCACGTGTTGGGTGTAGATTCGATGATCAAAGATTCAGAAATCAATCTCTCTGCCTCTCCATTTATCTGCATTCCCCTATAGAATTGTAACTCTGTCCCACCCCATTTTGTGGTTGTGTGTTTATGCATGCAGTGCAATCGCTGAGCTTTTTTATAATTTAGTTATCTTCACGGGGAATAAAATTCCATGTGAATCAGAGAGTGAACAAAAAGAATTAGCTGTGGTGTTGGATTGTAAAATAAAACGAATAGAAGAAGGTAAACTGCACACCAGCATTTGTTCAAATAGATACTTAGATTTTAATTCATTTCATCCGTTATCTGTAAAGGTAGGCCTAGTTAAGTGTCTAACAAACCGAGCAGTAGCACTGAGTAGCACAACAAAAGACCTAAATGATCCAGAAGAAGTGTTAGTGTTGAATAATTATCCTATAAAATTCATTAGGAAGACCAAAAATAGTCAAAAGCAAAATAAAAATAATGGGAAAACTACAATGGTAACATAAATAAGAAAGAATATAAGGCACCTACAGCTTTACCATATAAGGAAGGGACATCTGAACCCTATGTATAATTCTCAATGAAGCAGGAATTAGGGTAGCATTTAAACCTACAAACTCGCTCATATAGGACAAGCTGTGAATGCTAAAGGACCCGGTAGACCCAACTAGATAAAATAATATAATTTAAAGAATACCTTGCAACGACTGTTAGTTAAGTCAACTACATAGGTCAAACTAGTAGGTCGACGGTGGTCAGATTATCAGAACCAAAAATTTTTAGCTAAGGTTAGAATGATTGATCCTATGATGATAAGTAATTTAGAAAAAAGCTCAGCGCTACATTGCACTGCATGCATAAACACACAACCACACAATAGGGTGAGGCAGAGTTACAATTCTAAAGAGTAATGTAGGTAAATGGAGAGAGAGAGATTGATTTCTGAATCTTTGATCATAGAATCTACACCCAACACGTGCAATAGGAATGACTCATCACTCACACTGGAAATATGGAAAATACTAATACCAATGAAATCAAGAGATGAGAAATAGCAGAATCATATAAACGAAGTTGGAAAGTTGTGTGAGTAGTGCCTTGATATGATTATGAGCAGTAATAAATTATGCTCGAAACGTCACCAGTAAATATTACTGTATAACAAACACTGAGACTTTATCAAAATAAATTGTACCCGTAATGGAATTTTTTGGTGCTTCACAACTCCTTTGGTGGGGGTTCAAGAGACTATACAGTCTAGGAACTTAAAGCATTAATGGATGGTGTTAGGGATTGCAATTATTGGGAACGATACTTCACTTTATGAACTGTCTGAAGTAACATTAAGTGACTAACGCTCACTTGCATGTTCCTATTGGGAAGTGCTTAGGTGCTCATTCTGTTATTTAATTTTGGCGATCTTTCTTCTCTTATTTTATGTTGTACAGAACACTTCTTCAGTTTTTCTCACATTTATTGACGTCAAAAGAATAAAAATCATAGTGAAAGTGTTGTATTCACACACTTTGTAGTCATTTAGATGCATGAAAATATGATGGGGTAGACTTGGGGTATAAAAAAATAACCAGTGTCACTTGTTCTTGTATAATCGATAAGTGAGGCCTTGTTGAAGTGTGCAAACCTTATCCATAAATTCATTTCGATTACTCATAAAATATTGCGAAACTTAGTAATACATTTTGTTTTTTTCAACAACTCATATATTTCCATATCTACGCGTACGTACTATTTATGTTTGCCGCAAATCTGTTCACCTTTTTTTGGTTTCAAAGTATGGCGGTGGAGGATGTAATATCTTCATTTTCAAATAAAGTTTCTTAGCTAGTAACTAGTCAAATAAAATAATCCTTCTATCAGTCACAAATTTCGTTTACTCATGTGTTTGTTATGAACTAGCCAATACACATAGCTCACAATATCGGTTTAAGTGCCAACTAATATTTCCTTGCCTTACATGTTTGCTATGTAGAGCTGATATCATGATTGTCTGCTAAATTACACACAATTGTCTTAAGTGTGATTACTATCTCTGAGGTACTTGTTGTACTCTATAGCATTGTTTTTAATATTTTAATTAGGCAAATGGATCCTTCTTCTCGGTGTCACTATGAAGTGATCATGGTAGGTGAGTTTATGCACGGTTGCTTCCTTTACAATTTTTTTTTTCATATTGTAAAATATTTTATTCGTTTCAGGATTTCATCATGAACTGACATCGGTCAGATGAACAGTGAAAAACCTGCGAGTACTGGATGGCTGTTTCGTCCTAGTTTGGGGCTCCTCAGCAATACGTGCCCCTTGGGGTTCGAACCCAGGAATAATTATATCATCAGAGTTTTTTTACTCCTTTGGTTTCCCAGTGCAACATAACTCTTCGGTCCAGCGTTTTTGAAGTTTCAGTAGCAGTGGTTTTATTTTTACCACCCTTCCCTCTTTACCGTACTTACTGTCAACTAAACGAGGTTAAGGAGTGTGTCGGTTGGGGATCGAACTCTGGACCACTTGCTTGGTTGGCCAGTGTTCTGCCACCGACGCATTGTCAGAGTAAGACTGTAACATTTTTATATTCAACCTCTGGCTAACCTTTAGTTTCATATGGAGACAATCGGATAACTTTAATATCTAATAATTAGTCTTAAAACAATTAGCTTATCAAAAAACGAAAATAAGCAAAGATTATATAGGTATTTTTATTTCTTGATGAACAGTTATTAAGTTATCTATTATGAAGGAATGTTTCCCCAGGTTAAATCATTTGGCGACGCCTTATATTTGGAACTGTATGAACTGATCGTCTGCATATCCAAAAAGAAGGAATAAAGTTCATTTTGAGTGGTATGAAAGAAATTGATGGTTGGCATCAAAGAGTGAGTATTATGACTCTTAAATTCTGTTCATATCAGCTCTCTGTGGATGTCAGCTGCCCTAATAAATCAGGGTTAATCACATTCCTCATCATCTTCATCGTCCTTTTTATTTAAACATTATGTTGAATGCCAGGAATTAATTTCATTATTGCCTTTTGAATGCAATTTCTTATCACCTTCGTCTTGTGTCTCTTTAAATATACTTATTTATTTTAGACACACCGGCTAAATTGTATTTGGATTTAGAATTTTGTAAGCTATCCAATGAAAATAAAAACGGAGAGGAAGCTGTGGGTAGCTTTTTGAAAGTAAGTCTTTTATTTATTCTGGTTGGATTTTTAACATTCTTATCTAGCGTATTTTTTTTATTAACAATTCGACGACTCTATTATCTGATTTGATTTGATTATAGCTTGATTCCACACAGTATTTTGGTACATATCTGTCTGTTTTCGACATAGAACTTTGTACATGTGTGCGACAGTTCAAGTCGCCACACTCCATGTACCACACAATGCAAGAGAAGAAAGTACAAGAAAAGCATAATAGAAATAGTAAGCAGAGGTGTGAGACAAAGGAAGAGTAATAACGAAGAGCAAAACAGTTTCATTGGAAATCAAAGTTACAAAGAGTGGATGCATCTGCGCCACTGAGAACGATTTTGAGCCATGTAACCAATTGTTTCCAACCATAGATTTTTACCGTCCCGAGGACCCCAACCAGGAGGCCAGTCTACACCTTCCTACGTGGCTTAGACTAACTGTTGTAGATTTCATTGAGTGGTTCCATGTTTTTGTTTGACCGCCGCTAGCTCTTTTCCAGCCTGACCCTATGTCAGCTAACATTGCCCATCAGTCGAGGAAGGCGATGACTAGGCTAGGCATACGTAACACATGTCCTAACCATCTCTGTCTATATAACTTCACAACCTCGTCGATTGATTTCCCCTGTTTACCTAGAACTCGACGCCTAACCTCAATATTGCTCACTCTATTATGCCACTTCACACGGGAGATAGAACGCAGGCACCTATGATCAAAGACAGCTAATCTTTTCACGTCTTCCACTCTCAGTGGCCATGTCTCACAAGCAGCCATAAAGGAGGACGGAGCGGACTGATGAGCAGTACACCCACCCTTTGGTCGATAGCCAGTCGGATATCACGTCTACGCCAGAGATATCCGACTATCGACCAAAGGGTACATGTATGGAATTTTCAGCATGTGATATCGGTAGCCAAAATTTTCCAAGCCAACCATTGATGTCAGGTGTGCGTCGGCCGGGGATCGAACCCCAGACCATAGGTATGGTCGGCGAGAGTCCCAACCGCTGTGCCACCGACGCATCCTGCAATAAAGTTTAGGCAATATGTTAACCAAACATGGAGCGGATGTGTAGATTTTTACTTTTCTAGAAGCTTCTTTCCGTTGTATACTGAGATTCATAGAAAATGATAAACATAAATAAGGTCATTATGAATTCATAAATTTCATTACTGTACATACTTATGTATAAACAGTTTATTCTGTATGTATTATGAAGCAAACCAGTTTTACTCAAGGTATGAAGCGAAATATAATGTTATTTATTTCAACTGTAAAACATTCCTTCACATTTAAGCTACTTATTTGCTTTTGTTTTGATTTTCAAACTGTTTATCCAGGCTTTGTTTGCTTGTATCGAATTTTTCTATGGGATAAAAATTAGCCTCAATGAAGTGCTTACTTTAGATGCGAGGTTAGTGAAATACTCTTCAGCAAGTGACATAAACACTTCCATCAATGTCGAATGTTCTATATTTTGCTTAGCTTGTATGCTTTAAATATGATCGTCTTTTTGTTAAGTTCCCTGTGAGTTGTACGAATAGGTTATTCACTATCCATCACTGGCATTTAATATATCATGGTGATACTGTTCATTGGTTCAAGTGTATTCGGCTTTTGGCCACTGCGCTCTGAATTCAAAAACACTCCGATTGCTTTAGCCTGAATAATCGGGCAGAATTTAATGCAGCCTGTGACCTGATACATAAGCATGTGCGTCGGTTCGTTGTGTTGCATTAACACTTCACTACATTGTGAAGACCGTTTCAAACGGAGTATAACAAAGATTTATTTTATCAGTTGGTTTCCTCTTTGAGACTGAAATTGCGCTGATCGAAATCTGTGAATTTGAAGGTTGATATTGACGTGAATAAATGTTATGCATTTCTATATTTTAATTAAGCAAAATTAAATATCACTTCTACTACAATTGTGGGAATTCTTTGCACGTGCAAAAGTCCTAACTCTCTTAAAAACATGCAGTACAAAAAGTATCAAATTTTACGTAATAGCAAATTCAGAGACTTCAAATCACGAAGTACGAATATATTTATGCGTAATTTGTGGTTGACAGCTTAGTTCACAAGTCATATTCACATCGTCACTTATCAAAAAGTTGTGGAATCCAATTATATTTGTCAGCACCATACAATTGCCATGTTTGTTACAGGTTTGATCACGAGTTGATATCATTTAGAGAACCGTTGGAAACCATGAAGTACTGGAACTGAACAGCTGTTTCGTCCTAGTTTGGGACTCTACGCGCCCACCTGGATTCGAACCCAAGACCTTCCAGTTATAAGACGAGCTCGTAGACCACTCAGCCACTGGGATCCGATCCAGTGGCCAATGAATACTAACTCCTTCCGACTCGTGGTATATATAGCGCAACCACCGTCATAGGCGACTACCTGTTCTCTCATCTGATTTGGGTGTACCCCTCTGGTTACGACTTCTCACTAAAACTCCAAGTAACTTCCTGTACAGTTCCAGTCGCTAGTGAGCATCAGTATTCTCGGGTTTTCCAGTAGTTCTCTAACGGATGTAAACTCGTGACCAGACGTGTAACCAATCAAATTTCAGAAAACTCACACTTGATAATTGCTATATTTATCAATTTAAGAAATGTTTTGGTAGTGTGTGATTGGCACACTTTCAAGACGCGGGCAATTGTGTAGTTTTAAGAATGATAAATGGTGAATTCTTCTGCTTCATTTTGTACGATTGTAAGACAAACCATCTATAGCCTCCAACTGCTGATTGCTATTATGTAGAAGTGCATATCCTTGCTTTATCCACCCGTGCGACTGATTTTTTTTCTCTTTACCTAGTATCGTGTATAATATCACTAACTGTGCTTTGTATGAGTAGATGTAAGTGTGTCTTGGAATGATCCTACCATAGATTCAAATACTGACACTTTTGTTATGACTTTTACTTCTAAACAGTGAAGTTAGGTGGTTTTCTCAGCATCAGTCAAGTGGTTAAGCCACTGGAACAACAGAGTCACTAAACCATTCACTCCTTAGTAGCTATGGGTGTTGTGCACAAAGGACAGAAACATAACCTGAGAAAGCTTATGACTTCCACTTACCAGAAATTCCTCGTTCACATGGAATAATTGCAGGCCCTGACCCCTGTCACGGCGATGATGAAACAGTCTACCCAAACATTTTGAGTAAGGTTCTCAGACTCTCTGGTACCGTCACTTTAGCGCGCGTGTGGCCCCACGCATCTAAGGGTATCGCAGAGCTATTATTACTCAATTTCATCGTTGTTCAATGATGTATCCTAGTTTTTATTATTTTTCTTCTTGCTCAGTAGAATCAAAAGAAGAACTTTCTATTGAATTGAATTTTTAATTTTCCCGTCGATTGATTGGACCGAAGTGCTCGGTCTCAGGAAAATCAAAAATTCAATTCAATAATTAATATGACCCGTCGCACAAGAGGTGGCTCTCGTGGCCCAAGTTGTCTAGTGGATAACGCTTTGGCGTTTGAAACTATGGGCACTGGGTTTGAGCCTCGGTGAAAACATCATCATCACTCACTGAGAAATGCAGGTACATCCAGATGACGAGTCCCAAATAGGACGAAATGTGCATCCTGGATTCCACTGCTAGCCACCATCCACCAATTGTAGAAGAATTTCTTGATTAAAGCATTTCATCTCTGAAAATGAAATCATAAAAATAGGATCCTTGAGTTATTTATCGCTTTGCTATTGTATATATATATATAGTCTTATGTTTTCTGTTTTCAAATTAAAACTCATTCGTCTATAGCACCTCAAAGAAATTCAGTCAGCATATTATAATCAATAATGCCAACCTTATTTTTCAAACAAATTTAGAACAAGGTAAGTAACTACTTTGCATATGTGCGCAGGTTGTGTGTTTTAGAGCACATAAGATTTTTGATCAGATCAGATAAAAAAAATTTTAATCACTATGTAGTGAATTATCATACTACTATAACATGAATAATCGGGTGCAGTCTTTAAATGCTTTCAATGTGAATACTCTTCAACCTCTTCTCTATCCTCTCTGAAAAGAAGTGCATCCCGCTTTTTGTAACTGCAATCTGAGGAACCTCTTCGTGATTAAATGCATTTCCATAGCACTTTCTGTGTGGAACTCTGTATGTGCGATGGTTGTCTAAAATATTTCAGGACATCTGGAAAAGGGATCTACTACAATTGAAGAATACTAATTTAAAAGTGGTCGACAATAATCAGTATGAATTCTTTGCCAAGCTGCTTTTCACTGTAATTGTATATTTAGAACAGTTAATAAGCTAGTCAATGTATGTATATCAACATTCATCGTAATCCACAAGCACATTAATTATGCTTATGATTTAATTTTCTCTATCCCAAAGTGTTCCTTATACAAATCATCAAAAACTTGTTTGCATAAAGTTGGCCGTGCTACTATCTGATCACATATGTATAGTATCCATCTAAGGTTTTCGACAATTTATCTCGTGTATGATAAGAGTTTCAGGAAATCGCTTACACGTGTTTTTAATATTTCACTGAAGTATTTCTTCTTTTCTCTTATTAAGTTTGGATGTGACACAGGCAATGGATATGCGAGTGGCGTATAGTCACAACCACTGTTTAGAAAATTTTGCCTTTCTAGACAAGAAGTCTATTTCTATTGTTTGGTTTGTAAGGATTAGTTATGTTTTACGGGTTGATCACGGATTGATATCAGTTAGAGAACCATTGAACCAAACAATAGAAAGTTAATCTGATGCTCGCTAGTGACTTGCTACAGGTTGGAGTTTCCTGAGTTCTAGTGAGAAGTCGTGACCAGTGAGGTCCAATTAGATGTCACGTGTGTGGATGGATGTCCCACCAACGACAATGGTTGGGGTCGCGCTAAATCACGAATTAGTAGAAGTTAGAATTCACGAGCCATTGAATCGGGTCTCAGTGGCTGAATGGTATACAAGCTTGCCTTGTAACCGGAAGGTCCCGGGTTCGAATCCCAGCGGGTGCGTACTGCCGATGATTCCCAAACTAGGATGAAACAGCAGCTGTCCAGTACTCCCTGGTTTTCAATGGTTCTCTAACTGATATCAATCCGTGATCAACCCGTAAAAGAAGTCTATTGTGAAATATGTTTTTTTTATTATTCCTTTGAGTTCCGAGTTGAACATAGGGCTTTAGCAACACATTTCAACTTTGTTCTATTCGGTGCTATCCTCTTCAACGGGGTCCAGGATTGCCCATAATCTCTTATCTCCTCCTCGCACGACCTCCTCCATGTCATCCTCTCAGTGACGACTCACTCGTCGCTTTCCATTGAGATTCCACTCGAGCGATGGCCTGCATTGTGCGCAATGTCATTCGACGGTTTTTTCAATGTATGCCTGACCCATCTCCATTTTCTCTTATGTATTTGTTGAGTGATCGGCTCTTGGTTGGTTTGTTGCCAAATCTTTTGTTCCTAATTCTTTCTGACCTACCATTTGACTTTCAATATGCAGCCACTGAAGGTGGCAGATCTCGATGAAAGTCTGCAGCCTATTGGAAATCATTTTCGTGACAAGTTGGCCTAGTTTCTAACCCGTATAGAAGAATTGACTTACTTCACATTTCTGTTGAAAATCTGAATCTTGTTCTTTATGCTGAGTTAGTGAAACAGATTTTCAAACTGGTTTCAGGTTGATGAAGGAGTATCGTGCCTTTCCGATCTTGGCTTTGACATTTCTATCCGTTCAGCCTGCGGTTTAAATATGTCTGCCAGCTGGATATTTGATGTCATAATCATAATTACTAGAGGCAAGACTCCACTTTTGTGGCATGACTGCAGTATACTTTTTGACAGTTTTACTTGAATTAAACATAAACTAAAATGCTCCTTGTTGATTGATTACTATAAGCTCAAATCCATGTAAATATTTATGCGATCTGCTTACTGCTCAAAATGCATGTAGTGCCTACTTCGGTGCTTAAGAGTATCCTTGTTTGGCTTTGGAAATTCTTCTTGGAATAAAAATGACAGGGTGATCATTTTATTCCAGGACTGCACCGTTCCCTTCTAATAAAACATTTGTAATGAATTATGAAAATGGTTTTAATACAGGTCTTTGGAAAATTTCGTCTATTAGTTTTCGTAGCGCCTGGTCATGACTTTGATCTCATGTTCAAACTGGCTGAACACACCTTAGCAATCGTTGCAAAATCGGCAATTAATCTGCGATAAAATTGTAAACAGCCTATAATTGAGTGTAACTGTTTATGATTTTCAAGTGGAGGAGTTTCAGGTACAGCTTTAAAGCACTCAGGATCAGAGATGTAACCTTAATTAGTTAACGAAAATCTCCACATGGAATGTGGCAACTTGGACCTCTGCACTTCTGAAATCTAAGTTCTGTATTGAGACGTTGTCAGTCAGTCAGTCAGTCAGAAAATCGCAAAAGTAATAACTATTTGGCTCAAAATACGTATTTGGAATGTGAAAAAGAGAAGACGTTCAGCGAAGAGACTCTTTTCGGCGAATTCATTCACATATCTGTACAATCGCATTTATATATAATTATTTGTGTGTGTGTGTGTACATGAGGTTTGTCAAATTTAGAAAATTGATCAGGTAATAAAAGAATGATCTAATATAGAATGTTTAATGGCTACATCGTTTCTAAATCCTTTAGGAAACGCGAATAACCGATCATCATACTCACAGATATCTTTACCAAACAGGATAATATTGTCCTGGTACGTTTTCACACCGTGGAGACCTGTTAGCACTTCGTTTATAATAGCTTGAAATATACGAGAAAAAATATTTAGACAGAGGAATAAAAAGAAGTTCTACTGAGGTAAATCCCATAGTTTGGCTCACTGTAGTTAACATTTAACCATCCCTCCATAACTGGAAGATTGATGGGCAACAGACATTGGGCTATTAAGCTGTGAGATAACACCTGCGAATCAGAAGGAGTGAACACATTTCCAACATCTCCGTGTCTTCCACAGATTTGATGCTCGCTAAGAAATATTAGATCTGCTTCCAGTAGCACTTTAGATAGCAGACACTTTCGCTTAATCTTAGCGACTAGTCCATCTGCTGACTGTATTTTCAGCTGGTCGTCGAAGTTACGTATGATAGCTTGTGCTTGTAACTGAAGTATGGAATCTCTTATAAATATAGTAGGTCTGATGTGAACGTCAAATTTCGCTTTTTCGACTAGGATTAGTTTACTCGACATGAAGTGCTAAATAAGTGAATTTTACTGATCATCATATTATCAGAGCTTGGAATATGATGAAGCCTTAAACATAGAATAACATGTATTAGCCATTAAAGTTAGGAATAAGGCTGCCTTATGGGTATTATTAATCTTCTTTATAGTGCACCACGGTATAGTTAATTTAAGTGTCGTACTTCGACACTGTGGTATAATGTGATTTCATATTGGCTAAGTTCATTTGATACAGCATACAATGATACAGTATTATTTAGCGCGATAATGTTCCGAGTACAATTTATTGCTCATAATCAAATCGACCTATCCACATAGCTTCATAATTTACTTTGTATATTTTTTCTCTTCCCCTTGTCATTCATTGAGATTTTCCTTATATCCGATATAGTTGTTGCATCATTTCGATTCCACATGTTTGGTGTTGATTCGATGAACAAAGTTTCGGTGATTAATCTCTCTCTCTCTCTCTTCACACAACTTTATTACTTTTTAATACTCTCATCCTGCTCCACCAAATTGTTTGATTACAAATAAATGAATGCTTTTCATAGTCGATCATTATAGCTCCAGGTGAATTCCAAAATATTCCAATAATCGAATTGAACCTGATCTACTAGTTTGACCTATGTAATTGACCTCATAGTCATTGCACGGTATTTGGTAAGTTGTATTATTCCTACTATTTTGATCTGTCGTATCCTTAAGCGGACAAAGTTAGTCTCTGAGACAGTTGGCTGGTCTACATAGCATCGTAGTTTCAACACTATACTTAGGGTGCTTAATGAAGCTATGAAGTCAGCTACATAGGTCAGACTACTAAATCGGAATCAATTAGGTTATCAGAACATAAGGATTTAACTCGAGCTACAATCAAAGACTCTGCTAAGTTAAAAATAACCTAGGAAAATCTCGGCCATTGCAATGCATTCATTTGCATGTAATCAAACAGTAGAGTGGAACGGAATGAGAGTATTAAAAAGTAATAAAGTTATGTGAAGAGAGAGAGATTAATCACTGAAACTTTGTTCATCGAATCAACACCAAACACGTGGAATCGAAATGATACAGCGACTATACCGGATATATGGAAAATTCCAATGAATAACAAGGGGAAGATATATATATATATATAAAGTAAATAATGAGGCTGTGTGTTTACGTTGATGGGACTATGAGCAGTAAATTGTACTCAAAAGGGTCATCCAATTATTAATACTGTATCACTGTGTGTTGTGTCAAATAAACTTAGCCAGTATGGAGTAACAGCACAATGTAGGTTGTTCCGAATATTCTTGGGTTCCTTACGGAAAACATTCGGTGGCCTGTCGCCTTTGAATAAGCAATTTTTTGCTTGATCCTGCTCATAACAGATTTACTAGCAGCTGTATCATAAGATGAAGTTGTGTTTATATATATATACAACAACTTGGGCTTAAATTAAAAAGGTATGCCAGTTAAAGGAAATTTAATGTCTTCTTACTGTTTTTTTCCTTCACGTTCCCCAGTGGAACATAGGGCTTCAAGCTAGTGGCTTGAAGTTTCAGTGTAGCAGTGTTTATTTTACAGGATGGAGTTGCTAACCTCATGCCCAACCTTTCCTCTTTACCAGCATTATTTCTGGCTTAGAGAGGTAAAGGAGTGCGTCGGTGGCCGGGGATCGAACCCCGGACCATTTGCATGGTCGGCGAGCGTCCTAACCGCTATACCACCGACGCTCTTCTTACTGTAATATCAGTAATCTGACAGAAATCCCGGTAACATGATTGAAATCACAAATGTTTATTGCATTTTTAAAAGAATGAAGATTTCTTGATCTGTGTGCTTCATATTTATTCTATTTTTGATTGAACACTAGTCAGTAGCTAGGGTCTGTCTGGATTCAACATAGAACTTGACACCGAAGTGCAGCACTTCGAGTTGCCACGTTCAAAATAGCACACAAAGATAGACAAGAAGATGAGTGAAGAGAATCAATAGAGTTTGACAAGTATAAGAGTGAAACAGAATGGGTAATGGTAAAAAGGAATATGAAAGATTACAGAGACTGAATACATCTGCGCTGGCCATTGACAACGATTTTGAGCCATGTCACCTATTGTCTCCAGCCATTGATTCCTAGAGTCCCGAGGGCCCCAACCCGGAAGTCTGCATCTCCCTACCTGACTCAGTTTAACTGTCAAGGATTTGATGGATTGATGGCATGTTTATGTTTGGCCACCACTGGCTCTTTTCCAACCTGCACCTATAATGTGTCTAGTCCTATCCTCCGTTGCAGACTGAATTGTATCTGTCAAACTTGCAATATGGTCACCATGCTAGGTGGCTCGTCATCACGATGCACTGTTAATTGTTGGTATTAGATGGTTGGAGGCAATCGGTAGGAAGCCTTGGATTTGGGTTTCGTGCTAGTTGGTACTCATCAACAGGTAGGGCGCATCTGCAACCTCGAAGGAACACATGTCTCTTCTGAGACTTGAACCCGCGTCGCCTAGTGCCGCCTGCAGTCAGAGACGTTACCACTGAGCTATTCAGGCTCGCGATTGACCTCCTGTAGGACTGTATGCATTGTTCCATTTCACTGAACAACATTTCAGAAATATCAGAAACTGTCATAATCGAAGGTGTCTATATTATGATTACGGTTTCTTTCATGTACTGCAATCTGAGCCATTTCAGATTTAAGCTGTTGTGTGTATGTTGTTGCGCATATATCCCTTTGTCATCTTGATGCTTTCAAACTTAATTTCATCCTTTTATTTTGTATTAAATCAAGGAGGAGAGACAGATTTTCAAGACTATACTACTCATTAACTGGATTTGTCACATATTGTAACTTTACATCAAATAGGAGGTAATAAAAACGGTGACTAAAAGGAATGATGAATCCATAGAATTGAATTTTGTCGGGTGCTATGAGAAACAAAAAGATAGGAGAAAAATGCGATATTTCACTTGAAGATAAAAAAAATAACATATGAATTCGTCTGTTCCACTGCTATGAATTCTAAGACATACCACCTAGTGCTCAAAACTATGGATTTTGGGTATCATTATCTGCCTCAATCAGGTTGAAATCATACTTTATTTTCCGTCAAAAATCTTAATGCTAACCAAATTCTTTTCTCTAGCATGTTTAAACTAACGCACAGATACCCACAACAGTTTATCAGTTTTAGAAAGTATTATTTAATCCCCTAAAGTTCCGGATGGAACATAGGGCTTCAATCTAGAGGTTTTGCTTTACGAGATGGGGTTGCTAGGTCTACGCCCAATCTTCCCTCCTTACCGGCTTAGCGGGTTTTAGGGGTGCGTCAGCCGGGGATCGAATCCCGGAGTACGTGGGACGTGGTTGGCGAGCCTTCTACCGCTGAACCACAGATGCTCACCCACAGCAGTAGTCATGGATTTTTTTCGACAGAGCTTTGGGTCACATGACTGTTACTGAGTAAAGATCACCAAGTATTTCTGTTGATTGGAACTATCTGAGACACTTTCAGTTTTTTGGTAATCTGACTGGAGTGGATGCCAAAACTTAGGTGGTGCAAATGCTACTTGTCATCTGAGTTTCTCATTTCTAGTTTATTTATTAATGAGGTATTTTTAAAATTTTTTGCACTGGGATAACCTGTGCACTAATTTTTTCATTCCTAATTATGTAATAACTTTTTCTTCTTTCTTTTCTCTTAAATCGATTTATGAAATAGGTCAAGTTATTCGGATACTTTGTAAATGTTTATCACAGTACAGCTTATTGAATACAGATTTAGCGTATACAGATGAATGTTGTCATTGTGTAGTGCAAATTTCTCAGATTACACAAATTATGTTCCCAGAAATCGGTTTTACCGAAAATGATGCTAAAAATTGTTTTGCTCTGCCTAAAGATGCTCAGTCTAGTGATAATAATAAGAATCAGTTATGGAAATGTATATGTGATTTAGGCGTATATACACGTAATCGAAATTTTCGTTTAGCCGGATCCTGTAAACTATCCGGTAGTGGATTATTATTGCCTTATAATGTAGTGGATAAAAATGCAGAATTTTCAAGTATATGGCCAGATTGGCGATCATGGGCGCTTACACTTGTTACCTATATTGATAACAAATGGTGAGTTGTTTTTACTTATTTTATGTGGTATGTTAAGATTCACAGTAACGCAGCTAACTTACTTAAGGCGTTGGGATTGTGGCTCATTGATTTATGCGCATGAAGACTTCCAACTAAAAAAAGTGCGCAAAATGTTGATTTTAGACACCTGGGAGGTGATGATTAGATTCTGTGTTTGGTGGAGAGTCGAAGAAATCGGAGGGACGAGTTCTAACCGCGCCCCACCTGTCGGGGTTTGGGCAGACATATAGTACTACTATCCCTTATATAGTGTGTGACTCATTCCTAACTGCCATTTCATTTATTTCCATTTAATATATGCTAATATATAAGACATTACCTTTATTCCGTCGGTCCTCTTCACCTGCGTGCACCCCGTTGCACCGACTCTATGGCAATCAATCAGTCGTCTGAGTCCTCACCTATGTGTTCAAGAGGAACTAGTCCAAAGACTTCAATTACCCTGGCAACTTAATTTCCCATTATAAAAAATTTATTTACTCACCTATGTAATATTTTTTATTTTGTTATCCTTATGACTATCCTAAACAAATTGGGCATTATGAAAAGTTTGTTTTTAGTGTGATATTTTTATTTATACAGGTGCATGTAATAACCTAATTCGTTATTTTATTTCTCTTAATTGTTTCTACTTATATGACTATAACCAACTACATATTTCTTAATTCTGTGTACCTGAGTGTGCTTTAGGAAGGCTGACAGTTTAAGAAATGTTACTGATTCGTTCAAAATACAAAGGATTACACATGAAACAGAATTTGGTGACATGTAATCTAATGTATTTTAGTAGCCTAGCAACATGATTCATACCCTTAGCCTTTGAGGTGTATATACAATAATAGCATTGGTAACTTATAAATCCTGTCTATCTGAATTTCAGTTATTATCGTAATACAAAATGTAAGACAAAACAAGGCACCTGCAGCTAAGTAGCTTATTGCTCCAAGATCCTTCTAAGTTGGAACACCTGTGTTTGCTATATGCTACAGAGCATTATACAGTAAATGGATAGAAGAAAAGGCTAACAGTGAATGTGGTGATGTCATGTAGGTTGTCACAGTTGTGAGAGGGATGTCGACGCAATAACCAACTGTGACAGCGAGTGCCTCCTGATAGAACCAAAACAACCAGCAGTTTCCCACTAGATACTTTAGGAATGCAACGGGAAGAAAGAAGCTGTGGGAGCTGTAGACAACAATGGACTACTCCGTCGACGTTGATCAGTCAGTCTCCGGAAACAGACTTTGTGCTTTTTAGCTGATATGAGGATCTGTATTTAGCCAATCAATTGGTTCTAACTCTTTCAAATCACGCTATTCTTGTTGTGTTATTATAGTACTATTATTATTTACTAGTCAACTTATTTGTGAATACATACTCTCTCGCTAGTTGTGTGTTGTCTCTCTCAATATGTAATCATTGTGGCTTTACAATCCGTGCGATTTAATACCGACCAAATAAATTAAGCAAAATATAAAAAATAACCGATTGCCATCGTTGGGTTATGTTTACCACTGTGTCAACCATCTATGCGATTTTGTGGACTCCATTACAGGCACTCACGCTGGCTATGCCGAAGGATTTTGTTAGGTTAAAGAAGGGCGTTAGAGATGACAGCAGATCTCAAAATACAATGATCTACAGTCACCTAGATGAGTTTATGTATCCAGTATGGTATGATTTCTCCGTAGATCGTCCTACGATAGACAGGGAAACCTTTCTGCGACGGTTACCGCACGTAATGCTTCTCATTATATTTTGACCTTCATTGCACCTCGATTCCGGGTTCTTGTACAAGGTCGCCGTTGTGCAGTGTGACCTTGAATAAGTAAACAGAACTGAGGTGTGACAGAGATCATAAGCATTTGAGGCAGCTGTGACATCTACCTACTGGTCGAGAATGGGATCTCCGGCGATGCCCGAATAATGACCATTGGGAATGTCGTTGTGTGTCGCCGGCAAAAGCCATTTTTGTGTCCAACAACATTCCAGTCTTCGCGTCGGCTTTGTTTATATGGACAAGATTTGATGAAATAAAGTTCCAGCAGAATGATGGAGGTATCTGCTTCGGTGTCGCGTTAGTAACTTGGAGTATGAACGGTCGGTAGAATACGGGGCGGTCCGGCCAGAATGTAATGTGATTTCTGGAGAACTTCATAAAGGTTCAATAACCTCATTCTGACGTAAACTTTGGTGACTAGGTTGCGTGAGAAAATCATTTGCATCTATGACTAACTTAAAACAGCAATATCATTTTGACCCGCAGTCTTATACTTAACTTTTGTCTATAACTCACTTTAGTGGATTGTATTCAGCCTTTTTTTATCGTATTGTTGTAGTCTACTCGTTTGCCTTTAAAATCTTTTAAACTAACTGATAACACTGACCGACGGCACATTGTTGGTCGGAAGTCAACACCTGAGACCACAAACAAGACTTATTGAGTCAATACTGATGCTATTACTGGCCTATGCGTTCTCGGATAGATGACTAGAAAAAAATGTCTAAACTGATGAACTTTGTCACAACAAATGAAAAAGCCGCTTCAGTATGTCTCTTAGCTGAGTACACAGAATTCTTCGTATTTACTTGGTTTCAACGTTGCTTTTGTTAATCAGGCCTCTGACTTTATTGTGATTTATTACTATATTTCTTTAGTTTTAAATTATCAAAGTTAGTTTGTAGGGGTTTGATTTGTTACAAGTTTGATTACAGATTGATGTCAGCTAGAGAACCACTGTAAATCAGAGAGTAATAGACATTTATTTTGTCCTAGTCTGGGACTCGTCATTAGTACGCATCGACAACGCTAATTGGGGATCGAACCTAGGCCTTTCGGATTATGAGACCAAGCTGTTTAACCATTCAGCCCCACTAGGGGCTGGAATTCAATGGCCCAAAAATCCTAACATCTGTCAAGTCTTTAGTTCTACATATATCTATGCTATTTTTGGCGGTTTACTCAATCGTTAGTTTAACATGTAATATTCTTCAGGATGTACGTGTATTTGATTGTTAAAATTATCAAGTGAAATAATGCAATTTCGTAAGATGATATACAATCAATTGGGCAAGTGAAAAAGATTCATATTCAAGAATTAATGCTTCAGATGAACCTTTTCTTGTAAATGTTTACTTCTGGATACATACACAAATGTTATATCTACTCATTCAGTAGAATTACCTTCATAGTTTAATTTCTCCATTATCTATCTGTCTTTTTTTACGAGTTGATCACGGATTGATATCAGTTAGAGAACCACTGAAAACGAGGGAGTGCTGGACAACATAACTAACCCTTACAAACCAAAAAAAACTATAGAAAATTAATTTGATGCTCGCTAGTGACTTACAACAGGATGGAGTTTCCTGGAGTTCTAGTGAGAAGTCGTGACCAGTGAGGTCCATCCAGATGTTACGTGTGTGGATGGATGTCCCACCAAAAACAATGGTTTGGGTCACGCTATATCACGAATTGGTAGAAGTTAGAATTCATGGAGTGGCCATTGAATCGGGTCTCAGTGGCTGAATGATATACGAGCTTGCCTTGTAACCGGAAGGTCCTGGGTTCGAATCCCAGTGGGTGCGTACTGCCGATGATTCCCAAACTAGGATGAAACAGCAGCTGTCCAGTACTCCCTGGTTTTCAATGGTTCTCTAACTGATATCAATCTGTGATCAACTCGTAAAAACATAACTAACCCTTACAAACCAAACTATAGAAAATCTATCTATCTATTAATTCTATTTAAATACTTTTCCGTTAAACTTTAAGTAATGAGCAGGTTTCTCTTATTTCCACTAGGATTCTCCAGAGTGACAGATAGGCAAATATGGTAATTTGAATGAACATTTAATTCAAATCCAATAGAAATTTTCAGCCCTTCGATATTGTAATTTTTGAACCAAATGGAAAATCGTCAGAGATCCAGGAATATTGATTTCTTGTAGCGAAATTCAATCTACTACCTCTTAATTGTAAATATACTTACCGTAATTATACTGATTCAATACTTTCTCGCTCATTCTTTTCTCTTTCTATATGACCATTGGATCGGGTCCCAGTGGCTTAATGGTATACGAGCTCGCCTTGTAACCGGAAGGTCCTGGTTTCGAATCCCGGTGGGTGCGTACTGCTGAAGAGTCCCAAACTAGGACGAAACAGCTCTCCAGTACTCCCAGGTTTTCCAATGGTTCTCTAACTAATGTCAGTTCATGATGAAATCCTGAAACCAATCAAATCCCTACAAACCAACACTTGAATTTCTATAATATGCTTTGTCTATGCACGTAATACTGAAGATCACATGTGAGGTTCTTGGTTAATTATATTGTAGTGTAATTTATCCCTTAGTATTGATTCGCTTACTACAGTCTCTCATCTGTCTGGATTCAACATAGAACTTGACACCGAAGTGCAGCACTTCGAGTTGCCACGTTCAAAATAGCACACAAAGATGGACAAGGAAGAATCAATAGAGTTTGACAAGTATAAGAGTGAAGCAGAATGGGTTATGGTAAAAAGGAAAATGAAAGATTACAGAGACTGAATACATCTGCGCTGGCCATTGACAACGATTTTGAGCCATGTCACCTATTGTCTCCAGCCATTGATTCCTAGAGTCCCGACGGCCCCAAACCGGTAGTCTGAATCTCCCCATCTGACTGACTCAGTTTAACTGTCAAGGATTTGATGGATTGATGAGGCCATGTATTTGTTTGGCCACCACTTACTCTTCTCCAACCTGCACCTATATCAGCTAGTAATGCCTATCGGGGTAGGCGATGGTTAGGCATGCGCAGCACGTGACCTAGCCATCTCAGTCTATGTAACTTTATAGCCTCGTCGATTGATTCTCCCTCTTTGCCCAACACTTTACGCCTAACGTCAACATTACTTACCATATTAAACCACCTAACGTGAGAAAGAGATCTCAGATATCTATGATCGAAAGCAGTCAACCTTTTCATGTCTTCAACTCCCATTGGCCGTGTTTCAGAGCCGTAGAGAAGGACGGAGCGAACTGCTGAGCAGTACAGTCTCTCATAATCTAATACTATATGTTTCACTATTGGTTTGATATTGAAAAGAAATATTCGTAAACTAATACGAAATGTAATTCCATATTAGTTTGTTTATTAGATATATGACACAGTGAAACAGTATTATTTACTGGATGACTTTTCGAACACAATTTATTGTTCATAATCATATCAATATAGAATGTGTTTATTGTTCATAGTACTCATTTCTTTTTTAACTTATTAATAGTCATTTGAATAATGGAAATTTACTTTTATACAGCTCTCATCTTTTAAACCGTCCAGTGCAAAATTGTTGTTGTGGCAACTCTTCATTTACTGGCTCCGTTTCTGTCAAATTCTCGTTTGATCCAGACTTAGATACATTTCTAAACAAAAGCACTGATCATGTATACCATTCATTGCCAACAAATTTCCATGCTTTCGTAAAAAATGTCGTATCGGAATGGTTTAGTCGGGGATTGACTACTGTTCAAACTGTTGCCAGTAATACTGCCTTGTGTATTTCTGATAATCAAATGAAAATTACTTCTCTTAGTGAAGGGAAATTTTGTATTAAAGTTGAAAAATTGCGTTATTGTGAAAGAATCGGTCGTGCACATAAAAGTAATCATATTATGTAAGCTGTGTATTTGTATGCTACGTTTTATAACAATGTTGTTAGCCCTACCGATGTTTATTCGAATTTATTATTTTCGTTTGTTTCCAACCTGTTGGCGAAGATTTCGGCAGGTGTATGTGCGATGCTTTTTGACTCAAGATGTGACCTTCTGTCTTGTTGTAGTGTTTATTTTCTTATTTCGAAGCAATGCTTTCCTTATTCTATTCAAAAATACATTATAACTCCTCAGCATGGAGTAGAACAGACCAGTTTAGCTAATACAAAATGTTTGATAAGATCGTTTAGCAGTAAACAGTAAGGATAAAGCGATAAACAGAAGTAACTTATCTTTAAACATGTGCCGTATTAGCACAACACATTTTTGACGTTTCGATCACATACTTACTTGGCATACATATTTATATAAAGGGGCGAAATTAAATCAATATAGGTCAAAATGTTTAGGAGTCAAGATTATAGGTAAGATTTGAGAAAACAGATGACTGAAAATATTATTACGTAGAATAACCCTTTGTATTAAAGTTGGTTACTAGTATACAAGTTTATTGTAAGAACAAATAATTTTTGAACACATAAAACAGGATTAAGCCTTCTTATGGCTCTAAGACTTCGAGTTTAAGTATATGACTCAAACTCGTGATTTATATATATATATATTTTTAAAGGGGCTATTGAAATCAACCTTTTGACGCGTCTCTATGATGTGCTTTGCGATAGACGACGTTCACACTGAAGACTTGATTAATTTCGAAGTGATACTGAGGCGTCTTTGAAAAAATAGTTCCAGGTGGACAAACTACAAAGATGCAATTGTACTGCTGTAATCATACTTAGTCTGTCAAATTTTCAGCCTGCAATTGGAATCAATAGATGCAATAAAGCTTCGTATTTCACTTTATTCCTATTCCACATGTGATATACATCGTTATTAATATTGTGATAAGATTCAGAAAGGCCAGGTTATGATTCATATACCCTGATTTGTATTAATTCACTTTTCAGCCTAATCTTCGATCTTATGAAAGGTTGTTATTACCAAAAATGCTTAGATCCTGACTGTCGACTGGTAGATTTTCGTTCACCCAGTAAGTAACTTTAACCGTTTCCTATTGATACGAGACTGTGATTAACCAGTATTAGTTACAATGGATATCTTAATTTTTGTAATGTTTTTGTCCGTTTCTTTTCCGTATTGCAACTTGAAGGGCTAACCTACTGTTGAATATTCTGTGTTGATCTATCTGCACAATTTGATTTTATGCATGTGTATAGCTTAATACATTTGAGAGGAGTTTCTCTGTTGTGTATTGTCCGACTGTTATTTTCATACCTAAAACTGTTGAATAAAGAAGCAGTTTTTGTTTAGGCAAACGCATTATCATATTTGCAAATATGATCAAAAATGCATCAAATATCATCTCTGTTCATTTCAGTACTGTATTCAAAGATGTAATTGACTTATTACTGCGAGTTGGTTACCGCGTGGTAATTGATATAGCTGTCTAGTTCAGTGTCAGCCGGTGATGACACTTGAAGTCCGTAAATTCAGTGAGACGATTACTTTTTATATTGGTTATAGACATGAAAAGTGAACTAATAAGAAAGCCCGAGAAAAAGAAAGTAGATTTCAATCGTCTCGTAATCTCCTAACCAATCCGCATGTATCATCCAGTCCTACATGAAATTAGAGGTTGTCTAAAATAGATTATTTGGTGAGTTTTTAACGCACTTTCACGCTGGAGATCCCAGATTATCTGGTAAGTTCAGATAAATACAAACACCAAGTTCATAACTTTTTCTTGATTACCTCAGCCTGTCATAAGAGTTTACTGTTTTGTTTGTATTGTTTTACCACTGTTGAGAATCCGTTTACGCGCACGAATCACCAACCTCTAAAAGATAAGCAGCTGTGAGTGTTCGACCCAAAATTCCAATTTTCACTTAATGTCTTATGCATCAATAGTCTGCTACAACGTTGAACAGTTAAGACTATGATTTGCGACGTCTAGGTTAGAAACGTTTTGTATCCCACACTATTTTAGCTTCAGGAAGTATTGAGCTCACTAACGACTGTCCCAAAACGTGTTTGTTGGATCAAATAACGAGTACGCTCTAAGCTCACGATAAATTGATTATCATGATCTGATGGCTAATTCACTGCGTGCTCGTATTTGTGCACTGTAGCAAAATAAATTTTCATCTTTGTGAAGTAAAAATCCCAAATCGAAGGTAATACAAATGCTACTAAATTGGCGATGGCTTTTTTCCCAGTGTCAAACTATTATTCCGTCTCTATGCCTTAGTATGTTTACTTTGAGTTTTGATGGCGCCAGTGACTCACCCTACGTCCAGTTCTTTTGTGTAGGTAGGAAATTTGTAATCTCTCTCTTTCTGATTCTCGAATTCATTTCAATTAACAATTTCGTCGTGTGATTTCTAATATAGTTAGTTACATCGCTGTCTAAATAAATATCAACCATAATACTTTTCTACTTGTGTTTTACAACAGGTATGCCTATACCACTTGAATTTCTTTCTAATCCTACTACATCTAACGAAACGAATCAGTCAACAGATTACGGTAATGCAGTTTGTGAAGATGAATATTTTGACGCTGCTATAACATCTGAAGATTTGATGCTTGGTTCTTTACTGGACTCTTTACAAAAGTGATGAATAGAAGAGAAACTGTTGTTCGTCACAATTCTTATCTCACGGTTGAAAATGTCATCAGTTGCTGTTCTGCTGTCTGAATATGATTACAATTAATACTTATTTGAAGAATTATGTACTCGCAAAACCATTCAATTTTCTTATTTATATTTCACAGTCTAATACTTATTTCTTTTATAAAAACCCTAATTTAATAAAAGTGCATATTATCTATAATTTAGCTTTTTGAAGTATATTTAACCCACTTTTTATTATTAGGTGAAAAGTTGTCTTAACTCGGTTAAGTTATCTCATAGTTGAACTCATGAAACTGTACTGTTTTATAGTTGAATTAGTTTATAATTTTCGCATTAATTTGTACATAGAACCAAGCAAGTGTAACAAGAATTGCATTATAAATTTTCAATTACCACATATGCAATATCCAGCGAAACAGTTCACCTTATGTCTACTTTTCATTCGGCACCCAACTTTTGAGGAACTACTCAGTCGTATCTTGATCAGAGTTAACATAAATTAAACTGTTACCAGTATATAAAACAGAAACACTAGGCTTGTGAAGTTTTTCGAAGGATAATGACCTTATTGTCTGCTATGAAACTTAGTTCTGAAGTGAGTGAATATGCAAAATGGTTACTGGGTAAGGGGTTTCACGTTCATTCCATTCGCTTTATGTCTCAATATTATCGAGTTAATAACAGGATAGAAGACGGAGACTGTTTCAAGTGTTAGACATACTGAATCTGAAATACAATCTCTACGGTTCTTATTAATACACTTAGAATCCTAAAATATCTAAGTTCTCATTTTTACTAGGTGACTATTACATCCATCACTTGCTTTACCTAAAGTAACCATGAGTAATGCATGTCGACTGACTATACAGTCAACTATTAGTAGCTCTGATGGCTAGTTTATGCTGCTTTTTTCAAAATATCACACAACCTTTAGTATCTGAATATTGGACTGAAGCATGTAAATGACACTAGCAGTTCTGACTGGGAACCAGGATTTATTAATATTTGGTAAATAAGGAAAGCGAGCAGCAACACTTGTCCATAAGTTTATAAATATCGAGGTATGTCAATATCTAGTAAATGACTGCATTGGTGGACTAGATTTTGATTCTGAAAAGCACTAGGCAGAAAAAGTGAGTGCGATAATATAGAACTGTAGCTACGAATTTTCAAATTGCCGAAGAGAGTAATGTAAATGGAATGGAGCAGAGTTCAATACTCAATAAATGTAACCATTCCCTATAACAAGATGCAGAATGCAAAACATCAACTGCAAGAGTTCGACAGCCATGACCACACACACTGGTACCTACATTTTAGATCAGGTTTTGAGCAACAATCCATTATGACGTTTAGTGCATTAATTTGAACATTTGTATAAGGTTAAAACTCTCAATTGTCTGGAAGTGAGACGTCTTAAGGCTGCAGCAGAAATCCACCATATATTACAGAGACTGCCCCTTATTATGACTGGCATTGCTCTGAATTCTTGTTCAAATACATTAGGCCTACATGGGTAGACAGGATTCTTAATCATTTATTAACCAAATGGTTTGAAGTAAATGGGTATCGCAAAACGAATGGTGACGTAGTACACATGTCTTAAAATTAGGTTCATGTATGTATACAGCATTCTGTCTGTATGTTTCGCACCGATGTGCAACAGTTCAAGTCGTCACACTCCATGGAGCATACAAAGCAAGAGAAGAAAGTGAGAAGAAACGCAAAATAGAGACAGTAGACAGGAATATGAAACAAAAGGAATAATAAAAACGAAGAACAATATAGTTTCATTGGGTATTATAAGTCACAAGGAGTAGATGCATCTGCGCCACTGAGAACGATTTTGAGCCATATCACCGATTGTCTCCAGCCATTGGTGTTTACCGTCCCGAGGACCCAACCAGGAAGTCTACATCTTCCTACGTGGCTTAAACTAACTGTTGTGGATTTCATTGACTGGTCAAGCCATGTTTTAGTTTGACCACTGGCTCTTTTCCAACCTGATCCATGCCACGTCAGCTAACACTGCCGAGGAAGGCGATGGCTAGGTATGCGTAACACATGTTCTAACCATCTCAGTCGATGTAGCTTCACAGCCTCGTCAGTTGACTTCCCCTCCTTACCTAGCATTCGATGCCTAACTTCAATGTTGCTCACCCTATTATACCACTTCACACGGGAGACGGAACCCAGGCACCTATGATCAAAGACAGCTGGTCTTTTCATGTCTTCCTGTTCTTTTCAACTTTTCACCGTCTTAGTATCTATCTCTTTTCAGTTGCTCTAGCTTGTGATCGCTTTACAAACACGAATTTGTGATGTCGCGTGTTAAGTTAGTAGGTAACCAGACAAGGTTCTCAAATTAGAACTCAAAAAATAGCATACATTCATCCTTCCTAAGAAACGCATTCCACCAAGTTATGAAGAAACATCCTAACCCATGTGCACAGACCACATCCAGTTTTATAAGGGCAAAATACCATATAGTAGAAAGTTCATAGCTGCAATATAAGCTTTCATGAACGATAATAACAATGGACATCGAACAGTGGCAAGTGAAGATCCTTGCAGTTCAAAAACAAGCTTTAAAGAGGAACAATCTAAACTACTAAGTTTTCGTTGTAAGACAGGACCTATTTAATATTTTTGGGGGGTAAAGTAAGACTATTAATAACAATTTCCGACTAGTATTATACTGATACAATGAAAACACTAGTCAGATACAAAATTGGTAGTGCTACTCAAGGCTAGATTTACCATAAAATAAACCTTACTTCGAAATATTAAGTTCAAATGAAATCATACCGACAGTTCAGTCCCCAAATATAAATATCTGTCTTGCTGTTACGGAAGCGGATAAATAAGCACCAGTGAAATGAATTAATCACTTAGCAAAAAGTCTATTCACCTAATTTGTGATCAGAGACAACAGAAATAACGAGGTCTCAATGATAGGCCTGTTGCATAAGCTTGCAACATATTTTGTTACCTTTTGGGGTGTTTACTACTATTTCGAAACAGAAATCATAGAGAAAGAGGCATATAACAATAGTCATATTACTGAAGAACTTGAAATATGTGAGGACTACTATAGCCATCAAGATGTGAGGAGCAGATTGTTAAGTCTTTCCAACACGTAATCAGGGAAAGTGAAAAACTATGAAGACTTATCAGAAAGCATAAAAGTTAAATGGTTACATAATTATTATTAAAACAATAAGGTTGGAATGTTAATGTCTACATGGTTACTGTGGTGGTGCAGTGTATGTTGGTGGCATGACAACTCCTGGCTGCGGCCACGGAACTTGCGGCCTTGGAGGGAGCATCATTCCTTGTGGAGGAACTAAGGGATGAGGTGGTCTGAATCCAGCGGGGACACCGATAATAGGAGGATATCTCGGAGGATAACCAAGTCCTGGAGGAGGCATTCCTGCCGGGGCACCAAACAATGGAGGTGGCATTTTGCCTTGTTTATAAGCCTCCGCTAAAAACACATCAGAATAACGTAATAGCAAAGCAACTTACAAGTATGGTCCACAAGCCTCTGAACCTGTTCCTCTAACCATTTCTGGTAATACTCCTTCACATTATCCTTGTGATTTCTCCCCCCACAATGGGTTTTCCGCACAGATGGAGAATCATGGGTCAGATATGTATCACAATAGTCGCAGTAATACCTAGGTTCCACATATATGTGCTTTAAACGATGCTTACTTCGGCATATTCCAATTTGTAACGACGATGTCTAAAGACGCGCCAATGAGTTAATATAAACCAAACTGATTTCTGTTAACTCCCTTCTTGATTCTGAGGTGAAGAATGGTTGCTTTCAGTGAGTCCCTTTGTTGTTTGACTCAACTTGAAATGCCTCGAGGTAGTGGTCTGAGTGTGGGTTATATGTAACTTTTATAATGTGGTGTGTTAAGACCGCGGTAATTTTGCAAACAGCGTCAGTCTTTTCAGGCAGCCTGTAGACGGCCGTAGGTCATTTGATCAGCTGATTAATATTGGCGTTATTTTTGGAAAAGACGTCAAGGTTGGGTCATTTTTCGTTGTTTTACACACTTTTTTACATATATTCCAGCTTAAAGTTGATGAAATACGGCGTATTTGGCAGAAATAGACAATAGTGGTGTCCTTATCCGGCCGTAACTTACAGGCAGTTTGCAGCTTGTTGAAAAAACGTACTTTTCCGTTCAGAATATGTCGAATTACTTCAGGACATATGTTATAACAACCATTTCGTGAATTTTTTTGCATTTTAATGGATTACACATGGACATGATGAGGTGGGATAGCTCGTTTTGGTGATTATTTCATTTACTTTGTTGTGTATTTTTCCTAATGCTGACAAGGCTCCTCTACATGTATTTCTTTGAGGAAAAATCTGCAGAAATACTTAGAAATTATAAACGCATAGTATTTCCTTATTTTATGGCATAAACTTGACGTTCGCAGGCAGATGCAATATCGATTTTGTATTATTGAAAAATGTTTACTGACGTAATTATATACAATTCAACTAATTATTTCTTCATTTCAAACATATTTCATGGTTAATTATTGTGTTTACACTGATAACAATGTCTGCATCTGTATAATTTTTATGTGCTTTTTCAGATGATATCTACTTTCGGGAATTCCATGGATTTGTGTGATAAAGAAAAAGATACCTGCACTGTTGTCGATTTTGTATTACATGTTAATTCAATAATAAATGTATTCCTCGTTAATCGTTTGTTTATTCTACTTGATAAGACCGAATATTAGCCCTTGCGTAATATGTGAAGTGTAGAGTATATGAGGCTATCTTTGAAATCCTGAGTAGGAGCAGATATTTGGAAAAGCCTATTGGTAAAAGATTATGTTGTAGTCAAATAAAGTAAATATGCCTAAACCGTAGAGGAAGTCCTGTGATTATAAAGCGTTTCGAGTTATATATCGTCATAGCAGAATACGTAAACTGATTCCCGATTCATAGTCACCAACTGAGAATAAATCTACCTGAGAGAGTTTCCTTGTGATTTCTGCATGTCGCAATGTACCATAAGGAGAGACTATACCTATGCTGTTAGATGTATAACTCAGTGCAACTACGGTTATCGTAATAATTAAAAACAGAATGCCTAGGGTTATCAGCCAAAGAACACGATAAGTTGCTATCTGCTCATATAATCACGTAAACAAAAGTCTTCCAGACGCCGCATTTACTCCTAACAGTTTACCCTCAACTTCTAACTTAGCACGTGCTACATATGTTACTGGAACACACTCGCATTACAACAGAAGGAAGACAGATTCATTGAAAAACTGTTTATTAAACAAAAATCAGATTTCAAATGTACAGATAATTCAGATGAGTAGTCCTCTGTTACCGTCAGTGAGTTCCATCTGAGAACACGGCACATATATGTTTTTCCATAAGTCTGAAAAGGTTTAAGAAAAGCATAATTAACTTGGGTATTGCATGCATGATCTGAATAAAAAATTTTCCTGATAAGCATTTAGAAGTAATCACTTTACAAACAATATATATGTATATATAAGTAGCCCAATAGTTTTCACTAAACTTAAGGGACTTTGCAACCTATCGTTGGTCGATATCCAGTAGGTCCATTGAAGCATCATGAAATGATAAAATTATCTAACAACAAGTTATGCAGTAGTTTTCAAAGCTTGTACAAATATTTTAGCAAAAATGACAACCACTTTATGACAAATAATAGGTCTTGACAGCAATAATAATGACATCCATGTTCATAGTGACTATAAAAACAATAATAGGTATTATTATCGCAACGAATTCATCATTAACTTAGATAGACAACTAATAATAATACAATCATATCAAATAAATGTATCACTTAATCTTAAGAAGCATGTGTCAATGCAGTTGAAGATTGAACGATCAATTCTTGGTTGTTTGCTCAAAATCAACTTCCCCAATTTTCGCGAAGGCATCAATACGACAGTCATCGTCTCATCGGTCGCTGTTCAAAAAGAAGTCAGCAGAAAACCTAGTAAAAATATTATTTTTATATGTTGGTGTAACAATAAAGAATCTTCGAGTCACCAATCGGTCTTTTGGTTTTTTCGTCCGTTATTACTAAGCGTTTCTGAAAAACTGCAAGGAACAGCGTGGGCCGAGCGTAGCAAGAGCTGGGCATTAACGGTTTATGAGACGCGGCTGACAGCATGTGTTTACTTACTTTCACTGTATTCTCTCAATACTGATGTGCTCAACCAGCTTATTCCAACTGATTTCAAGATTAATTCTGAAAGTGAGTGAAGATCCAGCTTATGTCAAATAAAAACATGTAACTTACATGTATTACACTGCTTACTGAGACATCTGATACCTGCTTTCCGATCTTCGTGACAAGAACACAGTTTATCTAGGTTTACCTACATATACATGAGTATATGTATATGCTGCATCAACCATGCCATTTTTATCATGATTAGCCAGACCACTGTGTATATCATGCTTATTTAAGGATCTCTGAAAATAATGGTCAGGCGATAATTGAAGTTGCGTGAAGTTATTACCTCTTCAGAACATTGTTTGCATTCTTCACACCCCTAAGAATTCCTTAGATCTTAATTTGGCGTGAATTCGTTGAATTCGGCAAACAAATTCACTGGTATATCATTTCTCCCCTGGGCTGTAGTAGTTTGTGTTGTAAGTTATCCCTCAAATTTGATAAAACTATCCCGGAAATTCAGAACCTAACCAAGCAGCAAAATGATGTTTGAAGTTACCTCAACTAGAATGACAAACTGGCCAATCACGAGCGAGCGAATCGCTTGTTTATCCCATTCGCGGTCACTCAAAATTACGGCCGTCTACAGGCTGCCGTCTTTTCAGCTCTTATTAGTCACCCTGTGTTGCAATAATAATGGTGTAATTAACAAAAAATATCTAAATTTAGGAATAAAAACGGGAAGGCAAACAGAAAATTAAAAAGTAAACGAATAAATGGGAGGGTAGGTTGACCATTGAGACTTAAGAGACTATGTGGTAAGCGAAAACGAATTCAGCCAGGACTGCTTGATGAAATGTGGTACGGAAGAGTTGTACCTCATTTCGGTCTAGGCAACAGTCCATTGACTATATTCCTTGTGTTATTGTGTGATTATCTGCCCTCCGCCTATAGCCTTCCAGCAGACATGCAGTAGCCAGAGTCGCTATTAAAGATTCCAGGTGACAGCAAGCTAAATATGGAGACATAAGGTCACTCTATTCTTCACCTTATGACGCTCTATGCTTTGTATATTTGTCTTCAGCTACCTAACCCCTTGTTCGGGTGACACTGAGCATTTTTGTCCTTGTAAACAGAGATTAGGTCAAACTTAAGCCAACAGTGGCTGAGTTTAGCAGGATCTGTTTTCCTCAGCCTTTGATCGTATGCCTTGTTCCCAATGCTCATCCCTCCAAAGTGATAGCGTAGCACTTGTATTATGCACCTCATTTATTGGCCGTACATAAGTTCTGTAATGTTGATAAAACCTCTGCTGTGAGAGTAACTAGCTCCCTACGCGTGAAGTGTATTACTGCATATGCCATAGATACGCCATTCGAGTAATTAGCATCTGAATGTAGTTTCTCTGCCAGACTGAGAAATCAGTTATGCTGATGCAACCCCTGGAATCTGAAAGATATTTCCTTGACATGGACCTAGGTTCATAGGCCTTATAGGTCCATCTGCAACTCCTCTGTGCATTTCAGACATTTTGCCGTTCTCTGAATTTCGGTGTCATAGCTGAAAAGAATAACCAGATGGTTCAGATGACACAGTAGGGCGATGATGTAAATTGAAGGCGTCATCACCCAAAGAATGATCCCTATGATAATTCCGTGGCCGAAGTGTGCCCAGGTCAGATACTTCGCACTTTGGTACTGAAGAGCCTTCTATCTAAAAAGCTTACCAGCTATGATAGAAGTAGGTTGCCCGAATTATCAAGAACAGCGCCATGTTGAACAGTGTTAAGTGTCTAAGCACTGAGACTGTAATATTGCTATCACAGTTTGATGACAAGACGCTCCATGCTAGCCATAGGTTTACCGAACAGAGCTCACCTATTAAGAAACCGTGCTGCTCTTCATGGAGTGTGTTGGTGTTGTCGAGGTCTCAGAGTCTGAGAGTGATGACGTTCATGGGTGGTACCATCTATAGCAAGGCAAAATCTATTATATATTATTATTGCTCCCTTGGGTTCCTAGTGGAACATAGGGCTTCAACCGCACGTCTCCATTTGCTTCTGTCTTCTGCTGTACTTTTTGCCTGTATTCATGTCAGTCCATATTCTTTCAACTCCTCTTCACACGATCCCCTCCATCTCACCCTTGGACGTCCCACACGCCGCCTCCCTTTCGAGTTCCACTCGAGGGCTTGACGCGCGATGTCACCCAGTGGTCTCCTCAGTGAGTGTCCGATCCATCTCCACTTTCTCCTGCATATTTGTTGGTTGGCGATTGGTTCTTGTTTTGTTTGTTCCCATAGTTTCTTGTTGGTGATTCTTTCCAGCCCGGCCATCTGATCTTCAGTATATAGCGAAGACAGTTGTTAATAAAGGTCTGCAACAGGCTGTTGGAAATATTCTTTGTGACCCACCCGCCAAGTTTCTGATCCGTTCCGTATAGAAGAACCGACTGACTTTACGTTTGTATTGAAAATCCGAATTTTGTTGGTGATGCTGAGTGACGAAGATTTCCAGATTG